AGGGGTGGTTGGATTTCACCCTTCCCTACCTAGGCCATGTCTTTGAGCACTGAACACCTTGTACTTCTGGGCACTCCAGATAGGTTGCAGTTCTGAAATATGATAACACTGGAGGTTAATGGGTTCCTGGTAGCTTCATGTTTGAGTCTCAAATTTTTGGCAGTTAAGGTACATCTCTTTTTCTCAACATGTTTCTTGCGATCCTGTTGACTATCTTTGATGGTTTTGTGATCACGCCCCAATATCTTAGCAATTTCAAGAGTGCTGCCCTCTGAAAGACTTTTTACAAGTTTTGACTTCAAAACAGTCAGTTAACACTCTTTTTTAATCCATTTTGCATGAGGAAAAGAAGCTGCCTAATAATTATGCACACCTTGATATAGGGTATTGATCTCCTTAGGCCACGCCCTCTCATTATACAAATACACATCACCTGCTATGCTTATGAGGATACTAAGCATTCAAGTTTATACAGCTTGGAGGTGGAAAATATCCATAAAAATGATATGGTCAAAATAATCACTTGCCTAATAATAGTGCACACAGTGTTTATACCAATTAGGCTATTCCCTATTGAGAGTAAGTACAGAAAAGTTCTAAGAAATACTGAGGAATTCTTCTAGTGGCTTCAAAACTATGACTAGTTTTGAAGCCAGCCAAAAACACCAGTTTGGAAACCGCCAGCTTTAATAAGTTGCTTTGCTTCAGTTCCTTGATCAAGTGAATTTGCACAACCTTGTGTAAGAATCTTTATATACATTTTTAATCTTAAATGGAGATAATTCTCTAAGACTCTTGAGGTAATTATAATATTTCATGAAGTCTTCTCGGTAGGTGATAGTACTTATTCAATCTAGACTTGCCTCAGAATGCTAAGCAGATTTCGGCAGGGAGGAGCAGCCTTGCAAAAAACATGGTTGCTCTAACAATCTCAAAATAGTGCATTGAACAAACTTCTCATGTATTATGAATTGTCTTATTTGAAGAATTCACACATTACTAATAATTTTGTATGGTGATAACAGTCATTTAGTTTCTTCATCAGAAAATCTATGTCTTCCTTAAAATGTATATTTGTGACTAGTCTGATGACAGAAAAAGTGTTCATCTGTAGAAGTGCTTATTTACTCTCATTTCCAAAATGATTCTAATGCTTTGTATTAGTTGTAGATTTAGATCAATAAATATGCTAGATTTAAGTAATAAAGTGACATTATATGAAATAACGTATTAAGTTATTGTTTGTATTCTATATATTGATGCAAAAATTCTAACAAATACCTTAAATATTTACAGATGAAAATACAGGTGACTTATTTGTGAAAAATGCCTCTCAGACCTATTCTGGTACTTACACATGTTTGGCTAACAATAAGGTCGGCAGAGATGAATGTTCTGTCATACTGACTATTACACCCCGTAAGTATTAGTCAACAGGCAAGTAAAGTAATAAAAATAGACATTAGGTAAATAGTTGTTGTTATAACTGCAAAATTAATTTCTGCTATCTGACATAAGTTTTTTTTTTACATTTTATTTTAGCTATAGATAGAGCTGGTACTATTGCTGGAGCAGTTATAGGAACTCTTCTGGCACTCAGCTTAATAGCTTTCATCATTTTCTGTTGCTATAAGAAACGAAGAGACACAAAATATGAAAAAGAAGTACATCATGATATCAGGTGCGGCATTTTGATTAAATATTTCAAAAATTCATTTCAAAAAATGTTAACTTCTAGAAATATTGATTTACCTGATTTTAGCCACAAAAATAGCAGCCAAATAACAATGGACAAATTCACAAGTTTATAAAGAAAAGTGGGAAGATATTGGAATGGGCCTAGTGAGATTTTGTTTTATAAATGACAAAATCAATATTACAATGTTTGAAAAATTAAACTTGATTAAGAAGGTAAAATCTATTGCATGTAATTCAATATAAAGAAACAATAGCAATAACAATAGAAATATTAATTATTCTAAAACTAAACAAAATCTAAAAGAACATTTAATCAACCAAAAAGGTTGGCACCTTTTAGATGCCATAATTAATAGATGATTTTATTTGCTTTTTTAAAATGGTATCAGTCAGAAAAATTAATAAGCATGCTTTGGCTTCATAAGCCAATAGAATATCTTACAGATACTGATATTTGCCCTAGCATTGAAAAGCAGTTCTTCAAAGTCAATTTGTTAGCTGAAACAACAAATGTCGTAAATTATTATTCTTAATATAGCAAGAAAAGGGAATGCTCAATGTACAATTTTTGTATATAAATATTAGCATTTTTAAATATTAAAATATAACATAACAGGATATATATTAATGCATCAATTCTTTCCATTCTTCAAGAAATTATATATTTCTTTTTTCTTCATTTCTCTTATTCCCTGACCTTGATTTTTTTTTTCTTTTAATAGTAAAACTGCAACTTGGGAGATACTAATTGTGTTAAAGAATACACTCTGCCGCCAGAGCCATATTCTCAGGCTGATGGGCGGCATATAAATTTTAAAAATTAATTAATAGTAAATAAAATGCATTGCTGGACATTATTTGTTTACATTTATTTAAGGATGTAGCTTAGAATAAGTGATATTTTTTTAGTAGATTAAAAAAAAGTTTATGTTACATAATTTATTTGACAAAAATATTCTAAAAAATTAAGGAAAGGATAAATCAGTTCCGAGAGGATTATGGAAATTAAAGTTCACTCATCTTAAAGTTTTAGAAACACTGTGATAGAGAAAATGAATATTCTGCTATTACGGTAGTGTTAGTACCCTTCATTAAATAAAAAGTATTGATGGGTTTTTAGTGTTTCTAAAGATTCTTAAGTAAATTCTTAAATATACTTTATTTTCAGAGAGGATGTCCCTCCTCCAAAGAGTCGTGCCTCAACAGCCCGCAGCTACATAGGGAGTAATCGATCATCTTTGGGCTCAATGTCTCCATCTAATATGGATGGTTTTACCAAAACTCAATACAATAAAGTGCCGAGTGAAGACTTTGAACGTGCTCCCTCTCAGAACCAGTACTTTGATCCACCAAAGGTAGCTGCACCTAATCTAAGTAGAATGGGAGCTATTCCTGTGATGATACCAGCACAAAGCAAAGATGGTTCCATAGTATAACATGACATTAATTTGAAGTTTCACCAGTTCATTACCACATTGATGATTAGTTTGTTCCAGTTCTACACATTTAAAAATACAGATGAAACTCGAAAAATTAGAATATCATGCAAGCCATAATCATCACAATTATGACAAATCATGGCTTGAACTATCTTACTTTGCATGTAATGAGTTTATCATATATTAGTTTCATCTTTTAAGTTGCATTACTGAAATAAATGAACTTTTGCACGATATTCTTAATTTTTTGAGTTTCATCTGTACTCTTGAGCATCAAGATGTATGTGCTTAGCTCAACATTAAGTTTGACTGCTTGCATTGAAAAATGTTGACAGTGAAAAAAATGTTATCCACATTTGTAGGGATTTCTAAATAAATATTCAAATATGAATTATTGATGTATTAGTTATAGCAGATTGTATGACATGAAGCATTTTGTATTTACATTGTTATAGATACCTGTTTATATGAGAACTGTTAACAATGATAGTTTTCCTGTTCACAAATCTGAAAATAGAGACTTACATTCTTGTAATATTGATTTTGGAGAACTTTTCTCAAAAACTTTGAATATTTAAAATGCATTATTACTTATAGTAATGCACATGTTTACCATATTTACTAATTACTGACCTTTCAGACACTCTCTCCTTCTCACTCTTGCTCTCCAGTCTTACAGCATATTGCTTGTTCTAAACTGCTCCTTTCTAGATATATAATATTGAATGGATTTAGTCAGCATATTAACTACAAACATGAGCTGATAGTGTAATTTCCTGAATTGAATCATTAATGATTACTTGCTATTTTGAAATTCCCATTTTTTAATAAAGATTTGTGCAAATAGATTTTACATATGAGACCAGAATACCTGTTTAATTTATAAAATATACTGGCACAATTACATTTTTGTAGTAATGTTTTTTGTAACCCAAGAGATGGTGAGGGCTTCCCCACTATATTAATATGCTCAGTGTTATCGTTTAGTACTTTTTTATTAATTCATCCTATTTATATTCCTCTACTGCTTTTATTACCAATAAAAAAATGGAATACCAAAAACTGAATATTGGCTTAAGCTGGTAGTTTATATGTATATGTGACAAGTTATAAATTCTTATTAGGAAATTGCTCCCAATGAATTATAAAATTTGTTTCTGTCTGTCTTTTTCCCATTCTTCATGTCCTATTCTTGGAGACTGCAGTTTTCTTGACAAGGTTTTTCAGAAAGCTGTTGCCTCCTTCCTAGGGCTGAGAAAATGTGACTAGCCCAAGATCATCAGTTGACTTTGTGCCTAAGGTGGGGCTAGAACTCACTGTCTCTCAGTTTCTAGCCGTAACCATTTCACCAAATTGACTCTTATGCTTTTTGTACACATGAATAATTTCAAAAATTTACTGCAAGAGAAGTTTAAATATTTATACTTGATAACTTTTTTTTGGAAATTGTGGTTCTCATATACATGAATAATTAAAAAATTAAGATATCAAGAATTAATATTTAAACTTCTCTTGCAGTAACCCAAATTAGTATATAGAAATTTCTTGTCTTGCAATCACAGTTGGGACCAGAATTTCAGTTGCTAAGTTATGCAGACATAAAGCGATATATCATGTGATCACATCACTTAGTAATCTCAGCACTCCTGAATTATGGGCTGTTAAGTGGAGAGAGTCTCATGTACCACAGAGAAGGGGAGGCCTGGTGCAGGCTGCGTGGAATTTGGGGAGAGCTGCAGTGTGGTACAAAGGTGCTGGAATCCTCAGCTTCTCCACCCCTATGCAGTAGCCTGACAAAATGGTGCTGAATTCTGAGAAACTTCAGCTATCCTACCAGGACAAGCAGAGCTTAATAACTGCAGGGACGTTCATCTCTTCCCATCTGCCCATTTCCTCCTGATCTGTGCCTTTTGGCTATCTTGCAAAGCAGTACTGGCCAGCCATTCCTTTTCCAAATAGTACATCCATTCTTGCAAGACCAGAAAATTGTTGAAGAGTCACTAGAATGGGATATGTGGCTTGGAGAAGGAATGGCATGTATGGTTTGGAGAATGAGGTGTCTGAAGCATCGCAAGAATGGGACTTTTGCTATTCTCCCAATAGTGCATCCATTTTTATGAAACTTGGGGAAGATAAGAAAGTTCTGGGGCTGAGGTAGAGGCCTGGAGTGGTGTTAGCTGGTTGAGACTACAGAAAGTCATGGGCCTCTACTTTAGCCCCAGCCGTGCCATTGTGCAGTATGGTCAAAAAGTAATAGATTGATGAAAAACAGATGGGGGGGGGATTGCTGAGCCCCTGAATTTTAATCCATTTGCGAGAGTGTTGCTGTGAGCTGAAACTCAGTCTTAAATTCATTTTTTCAATGGTCATAAACCAAGAACCACCTGTAATATGTTACTCTTAATTGTAGTACATTGTTTGTTACCTAGTTTTAATTTGCAGGTTTTTTATTTCTAAATGTAATGCAAATAACTTTGATAGTTATTAAGTGAACCTGATCTGATAGTATGATATATTGAATTAGATAATAAGCAGTTTTTGAAGTGCACACACTATTATTACCAAGTTTAGATACTGGAGACAAGAATTAGTCTTCACATATCAAGGTCTTTTAGGTCTCTTGATACTGTTGGATATAAATGTTTATGTCTGCCTTAAACATGTGCTCAATAAACTTTATATTTGATTGTATGTCAGATTTCTCCTATAAAATTTCTGTTTGCACCTTGAAAAGCATTTTTTGATAAAATACTGCAATTTCCTTTATTGTTCAATATTTTCTACCAAATACTGGTTAAGTCACTGCATAATTTTATATTTCAGAATGTCTGCCTTTACTGTTTTTATAATTCCTTCATGGGGTTCGAACTTACTCATGCAACTCCCACTGCACAACACTACTAAATTATTGTTATTATAACCTGTCTTCTTGCTTTTTAAAATAGAATAGTAAGATAATAATAAAAATCAAAGGTTTAATAAGAAGGCGGCTTCCCCTTAAATTTATATTGGATAAACCTAACTTTTGTGTTTAAAGCTGGCTTGCTGAAATCAGTCTAGTCAAACGCGTGAGGTTTTTTTAAAATTATGTTTGCACATTGATGTTTTTAAAAAGGTGTGACTATTGCAATAACAAAATAGTTCTTTGCATGTGTTCACATGCTTTCATAAAAAAATATCAAAGGATTTGGAAATGAATTAACATATGGTGTGGTATAGAGTACTCTGAAGTACTACACTCAAGAATTTGACTACATTGTTTAAATAATAATTAAGTTTGAACACTTCTGTCATTCTGTTGTAGATTGCTTCAGTGTCTATACTTAATAGTAGAATTCAGACAAAATGCAAAAAGCTATTTGACTGTTGAAAAATACTGGAACATTTAATTTTATCATTGCTCATTCTCATGAAAATAATAAATGAATAGTAAAAAGATACAATGGTTTATCAGCAAAATATGATTTCTACATATTTAAATGTAGGATAGTCTGGTTGTATTTGTATATATAGTAGGAATTGATTTGGGTTGGACTATTCTATACTTCTAGAAGGTATTGAAAGTAATTTACATTTGATAAAACCTAATTCATATTTTGTAAAAGATCGCTTTTCATGAGGCTGTTTCAATTGTGAGGTATCGGGGCTCAATAAAAAGTAATCTATTTTACATATAGCAATAAAAAACTATTGGTAGGAAAAGAGATCAGTTGATTATTACACACATACCCTTATGAGCCTTTTCAGTAGCTACGTTTGTAGTAAGTGTAAGATTGATAATAGAGGTTCTGCAACTATTACCAATCTTTAATTATGATGTTAAAATTTATTTTGCCTTTTTAAAAATAGCTTTTGAATAAGTAGATTAATTGGTTTATATTAATAGATTGTTGGCTTATGTTAATGTATGAACTTAAGATTCTTTTTGAACATGTAGGTTTTACATTCATATTGCCTGTGTCAAATCTGTCAAATAACATACATGAGAGTTAAATTATGTTATGTTACAAGTTCATTAGCTTTATATTTAGTTAATGTTAATTAACCCATTTTTATGACCCTGTAAATTGTTTACAGTACATCTTTTAAATATACGTACTGTACAGAATATTTTGTGGTTTTGAATCAGGAGATGTCAATGTCATTAACAGAGTATGTATTTTTTCATATGTAAAACGGGCAACTTTTAGAGCCAAATGCACCATTTCCTGGAATTATGTGGCTTTGGAATACTGTAGGAGAAAAGGGTTGCTTATTTAAAGAGGAAATCAAAGCACATCCCTGGAACACAGTAAATGGAACAAATTGTGAAGAACGCTTATGAGGCACCATCACAACTTTTGGGTTTTGTGATGAACCCACTTATGATTTTTTCCCCCTACATTTTTGTTAAAAGTTAAAAGCGCTGAAAATTGTGGAAAGAACTTGCTTTATTACTGGTATAATGTTTTACTACTGGTATAATGTTTGCAATAAAGATATTAGTAAATCATATTGTGATTTTATTAAAATATTGATTCTTTGTTTTGTAAATACTTTTTAAAAGATAATTTGTTCATATTAAGTAAGTTCTTCTTTACATAATTAAGCCAAAACAAAAACAATTTGGCAAAATTAACAAAGATGTTGGGCTTGATTGTTATTTATATTCATGGAGCTGGAAATATACAATTTTCATCTTTTAAAAAAATTGTGTGAATTTATTAGAAATTGTTATATAGTGCATGTTACATGCTCTTTCATTGCAAAAATTTTCTAACATAATTTTTTAAAACAAATATAAAGAGAAGAGTAAGACATACATGGTTCTTTGACAGTCTTGCTCCCTGGATTTGAATGGGTACACTTAAGAATAACTCAAGACAACTTGTATACACAGCCAAGAGCGGGAATCTTGAAAGTTGCAGCTTCTTGTGGGAGTAGCCAGAAAGTCTGGCTGCTCTCTTTATTTGGCTGTTCTTACCAACTTCTGCTTTTCCTTATGCATGTGCCTTTGAATGGTAAAAGTGTTTATATATGAATTATATATTATTGACTATTCACTGCAGAGAATCTGCATTTTATTAACCTGCAAAAAGCCTTTGGATAAAAATAGTCAGAAAATATCCTTTCTGTTTTTTTTATTCATTTCCTACATATCTACTTCATTGAACAATAAACTATCAGATTACATAGAAAAGGAGTGGGGGGGGGGAAGAATGCCTAGCAACATGCAGTCATTAGCTGACTTTTCTGAAATATTTGATGAACTCATAAAGACTATAGAAAATGTTCTGAAGAAACTACTCTAAATACTTAAAACCCACAAAAGGAATAAATATGGACTCAAGAAACAACACAGACTATAGAAAATATTCAGAGAAACAAGGACTTAGAAATTACAAAATTGATTTCATATACCTTTTGAAAGCTTTTATATAATTTTAAGCAGAGAATTCTCTGGATGGATAATTGGCAAATGGGTCTTTTTTAAGGGCTGTGAAGTAGCGAGGGGAATGGATTTATTAATTTTAATTGGGGAATGATCTGGTCTGGGTTTTTTCGGGGGGGGGGATAAATTGGTTTTGGACATTGGACCTACTCTGTTCAAATCAATCAGCAATTAATAAGAAGTGGTTTTAAAAGTGGATTTTTGATCCAGGACCAAATAGGGTTAAATTTTGGGGAATATTTGGGACTCAAGCCATGGTAAATTTTGTACAAATTGGTTACAACAACAGTTAGCAGGGTTTCGGAATTCAATTTTGTCTTTTATTACTATTAATAATTCTTCATTTATACTTTTATATAATATGTTTATTATTATTTTTCCTGTTAACTGTTTTCTTATTAATATAGTATGTAGATAACAGATTAACAATTTAAAAACTGTTTTAACAATTTAAAATACTTCTCGCCTATTTTGCAAGGGGTGGGAAATTAACACTGATGTATTCTGAAACAATAGAAAATATTTATAGCTTGGGTTTTAGATTTTGGCAGTGGTTTCTTCTCCAAGCTTGTTTCAATTTAGTTTGCAAATGTTTTGTTACCAGACTAGGTAATATCATCAGCAGGATTGTTTTGCCCTATTCTCCTTAGCTTATAAATGTCTTGTGTGCCACTGTCAGTTGTTCATTTGGAGCTATATTTAAATTCTAAGCAGCTGATTGGTTCTTTTGCTGATTGGTTGTTCCAGTGGTCTGGGTTTTTACCTATTCATATGCTGGATCTAGGTCAATAAGTTTGTTAATTTTTTCTTTGGTAGAATACCAGGCTTCATGGCATGTTGTATTGTATCAATCAGCATTCAACTAGGAAAGATGGGTGTGTATATGTGTTAGTATTTTTTTCTTTTATTTTAAGACAATTTTTAATGTCTTATAAATTTTTTATTTTTTTATTTTTAATATTTTGTCATTTTTTTATTTTAACTCTTTTTGAATAAACTAAATATATTAAAAACAATGCTATAGGAAAATAAATTGGCAGCTTAATTAATTTCTTGGTTTTGGGAACACTTTTTGGCCAGTTTTCTTAATGTTTACCACCAGACCTTCATTGTTATTTCAGGCATGGAAATTTTGGATTGTTCTGTAAAATACGAATTGGATTAATGAATTTGACTAAAATCAAATTAAATGTCCAATATAAGAGAGCTGAGATAAAAAAAAGAGCATTTGTGTTTAATAACAAATTGGTTTAAATACACTATATAGAAGCAGTGAAACCCTATATTAATATAATTAATATTTTAAAGAAATTCAACTAGTTTCATTAGATGGGGAGTTTGTTCATTTAACAATCTGGTTAAAAATATCTAGCAATAACAATTTACAGCTAAAAGTTTAGAATAATTGTTTATACTTTAATTTTAAAATTCATTTATTCATTAATGTTTTCTTTGTTGTAGTTCGAAAATGCATGCGGGATGCGTGACATAACAGTGGTATAAAGTTGAAGAAACATCATATATCATGAATTTACATTATGAAGGAAATGAAGTACTCTGTTTTATCATTCTGCTTTAATGTCTGCAGACAATGGTAGAGTAAATCTACTATAGGTAATATTTGCCTTTCAAATATTTAAAAGTATACTGCTTGAAAATTTTATAAGAGTCCCAGACATGGAAAATGTGAAAAGAGAAATGAAATTGATTGAAGATCATGCAGTTACCTACTTGAATGGAGCAATTTAGGCCATCGAACCTTCTGCTTAGTGCACTAATCCCTTTTAAAGCACTCCTGACATATGGCTGCCTGCTTTCTTGGGACACAACCAATAAATGGAAATGTATGATTGGTTTCATTATTGAACTGTTCTTACAGTCAGCTGATTTAACATGTAATGGAGATAGTAAGTAATATAGCTTTGGTTCAAGTACTTATTGAGTAAAACATGCATTTTCTAATGTACTTTAGAGGCAATCAGTATCATTTAACACTCTGCCTTTCAGATTATATTTTTATGCTTTTAAAAATTGTATGGATCTGATTTTTTTTTAAAGGTATGTCTTATTTTTTTATTATTTGAATACAATTAAAAAACTATAATATACAATACAAAATCATAAAACCATAAAATAAGAAAAACATATAGGTAGATATTCATGACTTTTTTTACACAAACCATTCAATAAATGGTTCCATTTCATTATAATTGTCCATAGCTAATGTACATTGATAAGTAATTTATTGATAATAAAATCTGTTCTGCAAATTGATGAGAAGCTACAGATCATATGTTTATGTTCCAAATTTTAAAATAAACCTTTAACTGAATTATTTTTTTTTAAAAGCCCCTAATTAATATCAACATGTGCCATGTGGCCTATTTGTTTTGCATCCTTCATCTTTCTTTACTTTTAAATGGAGGCCATGGTTGAATCACCTATTAGTTTTTTGTCGCTTTATTTTAACATCAACTATATATACGTCTTAATGGGGTTCCTTACAAGAGGAATCAGCAGAATCAGTAAAATTATATTATTTATAATGAAATATTTAATGTCATTTGCAAAATCCTGACAAAACTATGTAATAAACTTTATATGGAGATAATTGCTTTGGTTTTTTTCATGCATAAATTTCTAAAATAGGGAAGTAAATTATACTTTAATATACAGTATTTAAATCTGTTATTTAGAAATGATTCTTGAGAGTACAATTTAACGTCTGAATCAAGAATTGTGAAAAGCTGAAAAACTATGTTTTTAGGAATGTAATGTGAAATGTGTTTACACCACAAATGTGTTTACACCACAAAAATAGAAATTTAGAGGCAATCAAGGGAACTGATAATTCATAAAAAAATGAAAATCTTGATAATAGTTAATAAAGCTAATAATCTTGCAATTGTTCAAGATACTGTCATTTTTATTCTATTTGAAATCTGATTTTTAATATATCACTGTCATTTTTACTTCATACAGAACATTGTTTTGTTTTTATATATTGTATTTGTACATGTAAAGTCTCAGAATGCTTATCCTCAAAGTAGCAGTTCCTTACCAATCTTAGCCCATCATTTTTTCTCATACATAGAAACCTGCTTGGAGAATCTGTGCCCAGATAATTTACCTGAACCCACACCCTGAATTTTGCAGTTCTATGCACTTCTCCTTGATCATTCTTGAATTTAACTAATTTTTATTACTACCTAGTCAAACCTTCAGTGGAAAATCCATTCCAAAGCACTCTCCAGCATGGCCTTATTTGTGTAAAGTAATGAGCCCACATATGCTCACTCCAAGAAACCATTACAACATAACAATTTTAAACACCATATGACTAACAGACACTGCAGTATGATAAATGACAATAGCATTTAGACTTATATACTCCTTCACTGTGTTTTACAGCGCCCTCTAAGCGGTTTAAGGAGCATATTGACCCCAACAATCTGATTCATTTTACTGATCACAAAAAGATGGAAGGTTGAGTGAACCTTGAGCCGATGAGACTCGAACTGTGAAACTGCTGCAGCCAGCAACCAGCAGAAGTAACATGCAGTACTGCATTCTAACCACTGTACCACCATGGCTCATAAAGTTGCAGTTTATTTGATTTAATAGATTTCCAAGCATGAACCTAATTAGACCCAAACAAATTACTGCAATAAAAACTGCCCTCAGGGAGGGCAGCAGCAGTAATAATTGCAATTAAAATGGCAAGTAGTTAAAACAACAGATATCAAAACATTCATAATAATAGCAAACCCAAAGAAATACAAATACATAGGATGAATACTGTAGCAGAAGGTGTTTAGTTTTCCTACTGCATTTCTATTCATTAAATCTACATTATTTTTCTAATCTCTTCAAACTATCAAATAATTTTTCTTAATAATTCTATTTCCTCTCTTCTAATACTCTACTGCTAAAAAAAACCTTAATAATTGCGCACTTGTTTCTCTTCATCAAAGCTTTATATTTTCCAACAAAGTATTCTTCACCAATATAGTGTTATGTTCAGCTGTGTTGAAAGTACCCTTCTCTGTCCCTTTCTGTTTTCCTTGCTTTTACTCCTTAACAATTTTGCTTCACCAGAACTTTTCAATTTTTCCTCCAAAATAGTCTCACTATCAAGTGTCTGTATCCAAGTCCCTTCTATTTCCATTTTGATTCTAGATCCATCATTTGTTTCTACCTACTGTTTTTTTATCATTTAATAGCTAATTAGTTAATATCAATATTTTAGGCACATATGAAAGAAAAGATTTCTGCTATAGAAATGCAAATTTTAGACCTCCACATATTTTGCCATGGCCAGAGCCAAGGAAGCGAAAGAAAGACATAATGTTACCCCCAATAAGAAGCACAGGGATGGATAACCGACTTAATTGCTGGAAGAAAAATCTTCACAGAGGCCTCTTACTGGGTACCTAGCAGGATTTGTCACCTTCTGAAGGTGGTTGTGTTCCCAGCAATGCAGTTCTACGTTGAAATCCCAGATTAAGGCAGGAGAAGTGGCAAGGGGTCACATGGGTATCTCTGGGGCTTATGCAAGATTTGAGAATGACTCATGACCAACCACTTTTGAGTACAATTAGAAGAGGTGAAATACCCAATTATAACCCAATTCAGACAAGTGTCATAAAATAAGGAATGAAAACATGTCTTGTTAGTGCATCAGGTTTGCATCATGGTTTGTACAGTGGGTTCAAATATGGAGAGATTGCAATAATTGGATTAATAAAAACCATAATATTTCATTTCACAATATTAAGCTATAGTGTGACTTAATTAGATATGTGAACCAAGCCAGTATAACATGATTCAGTCTCTGTATATAGGCACAGTATATTCATGGTTCAAATGAATGTGCATATATTGTGTATAAATGTTCTTATCAGTTGATACCAAATTTCTTAGGCAAATTATTTTTAAAATTAGATTTAATTGTTTTAAAAAGCCAGTGTAATGGTTTATGGTTTTATTCGACTTGTATGCTGCCCTATTCCCGAGGGACTCAGGGCGGATAACAAAACCAAGGGATTGGGGGGGGGGGAAATACAAAAAGAAAAACCACAACAAAAACAAACAACAGTACAAAACAGTCTAAAAGGTCTCAACACGCATA